CCTGGCTACCTTCACTCGGCAGCCGGGGTCGGACCTGTACACACTGACCACTGAGTCCCCTCAGGTAGCTGCGTCTGCGTCTGCGTCAGGTCAGCTGTCGGCCCCCTGCTCGTGTCGCTCTCTGGCGCACGAGACCGTCCTCTGGCACCACCGACTTGGTCACCCGTCTGTGCAGCGCCTTCGTGCCATGCATAAACGGTACCTTGTCTCTGGTCTTCCCAGGGTTCTCCCTCCCCTCCCACCCTCGCCTGCTCCTCCCTGTCTTCCTTGTGTCGAGGGGCGGCAGCGCGCCGCTCCTCACTCCTCCTCGTTTCCCCCGACGACTGCTCCCTTGCAGACGCTCCACATGGACGTGTGGGGCCCAGCCCGCGTCCGTGGTCAGGGTCAGGAAAGGTACTTCCTGATAGTTGTTGACGACTACTCGCGCTACACCACGGTCTTCCCCTTGCGCACCAAGGGTGAGGTCCCTGATGTTTTGATCCCTTGGATCCGCGCTTCTCGTCTCCAGCTCAGCGAGCGTTTCCACTCGGACTTTCCTGTCCTGCGCTTGCACTCTGACAGAGGTGGTGAGTTCTCCTCCGACCTCTTGGCAGCCTACTGTGCGGAGCACGGCATCCGCCAGTCGTTCACGCTTCCGGCCTCTCCACAGCAGAATGGGGTTGCTGAGCGCCGCATTGGCTTGGTCATGGAGGTCGCTCGTACCTCCTTGATCCATGCGGCTGCCCCCCACTTTCTGTGGCCGTTTGCGGTCCGATACGCTGCGCATCAGCTCAACCTCTGGCCCCGTGTCTCCTTGCCGGAGACCTCCCCGACACTGCGTTGGACGGGAGAGGTTGGCGATGCGTCGCGTTTTCGGGTCTGGGGATCTCGAGCTTTTGTTCGCGATACGTCCGCGGACAAGCTCTCCTCCCGCGCTGTTCCTTGTGTCTTCTTTGGCTTTGTCCCGGACACGTCTGGTTGGCAGTTTTACCACGCCACCTCGCGCCGTGTCCTGCCCTCACAGGACGTCACTTTTGACGAGTCCGTGCCCTACTACCGCCTCTTCCCCTACCGCACTGCCCCGCTCCCCCCCCCCGCCTCTCTTCCTCGCCCCAGGTGCTGCTATGGTAGACCCCCTCCCCCCTCAGGGTGCCGCTCCCTCAGGTGTGTCCCAGGTAGACCCGGTTGAGCCTGTCGACGTAGCTGTCGACTCTCGTCCTGCTAGGGGTGCTGAGCCTGAGCGTGCGGAGCCTGGGGGTGCGGAGCCTGGGGGTGGGGTTGCGGAGTCTGGGGGTGCTGCGTCTGGGGGTGCTGAGTCTGGGGGTGCTGAGTCTGGAGGTGCTGAGCCTAGGAGTACTACACCTGGAGGAGCTCTCTCCTCACAGCAGCTGCGTGAGTGGTACTTACAGTACTGCAGCCTCAGGAGAGGTGCCTCTGGAGCTAGGAGTGCTGCTGGAGCTGGTGCTAGTGCTTCCCCTCCTAGGCGGGAGCTGCCCTCTCCCCAGCGGCTCCGAGAGTGGTACGCGCGGCGCTGCAGTCTCCGGAGTGGCGCTCCTAGTGTCGCGGACCCTGGTGCTGGAGGTGCTACTGCTGCTGGCGGTGCTGCTGGTGCTCCTGGAGGTGATGCTGGTGCTGGTGCTACTGACGCTGCTGGAGGTACTGCTGGTACTGGTGGTACTGCTGGTGCTGCTGGAGCTGCTAGAGGTACTCCTACTACTGGAGCTGCTGCTGGTGCTGGGGACCCGGGTGTTGGAGCTGCTGCTGGTGCTGCGGACCCGGGTGTTGGAGCTGCTGCTGGTGCTGCCGACACCCTGGAGTTGGAGCTGCTGCTGGAGCTGAGGACCCTGGAGTTGGAGCTGCTGCTGGTGCTGCGGACCCGGGAGTTGGTGCTGCTGGTGTAGCTGGAGACCCTGGAGCTGAGGGTACTGGTGGTGCCTCTGCTGGTTCTGGAGGCGCTGCGCGGCCGCGGCCGTACTTCGTTCCGCTCCTTCAGCAGGTTCTTGGTCAGCCGCCTCCCCCTAGTCCTGCTCCCTCCTTAGAGTGTCCTCCGCCTGTCCAGTCGCAGTCACAGTTACCGCCTGCCTCGCCACTCCCTGGTCCTTCTCCTTACACTGGTCCGACTGGAGGTCTTACAGAGCGTCGTGAGCCTGAGTCTCGTCCTGCGTCGCCAGAGTCTCGTCGTGCGTCACCTGTTCGTGCTGCTCACACTGGTCGTCGTGTTCCGCGTCAGCGTCCTCCTGCTGTCCCAGGCACTCACCAGATGGCACTTCGTCCTTCCACTGCTCCTCAGCGTGTCCCTCTGCCGTCTCCTCCTGCGTCTTCTCTTCCTGCTCTTGCTGACCCGGAGTCTGACTCCCTTCGTGCTGCCAGTCCTACTGTCACGCGTCTCCTCGCCACAGTTGTCACTGACCCTTCCTTTGAGTCCTCTGCTGCGTCTGCTCTAGTCGCTGAGTTAGTTGACTTTGCTGCCGCTTGTCGTCTAGACTACGCCGCTAGCCTTGTCGCTGAGTCTGAGTCTGAGTCTGTCTGTCCTTCGTCCGTCGGGGGTGAGTGTGCTCTTGGCACGGACGTCCTTGAGGACAGGCAGGAGGAGTTTGAGTGCTTTGCCGCTGCGTTACCTCATCTCGTGTCCATGCTGGTTGCCCCTGAGGGAGACCTGGATGCTCCAGACATCCCGACCCCGCGCTCTTACGCTGAGGCGATCGCGGGTGAGTACTCCTCTCAGTGGCAGACAGCCATGGACGCAGAGATGGCTTCTTGGAAGTCCACAGGCACCTACGTCGACGAGGTTCCCCCACCTGGGGCGAACATCGTCAGTGGCATGTGGATTTTCAGGGTGAAGCGGCCGCCAGGTTCTCCGCCTGTCTTCAAGGCGCGTTACGTTGCACGAGGCTTCAGTCAGCGAGAGGGAGTTGACTTCTTCCAGACCTTCTCCCCGACCCCGAAGATGACCACTCTTCGGGTTCTGCTGCACGTCGCCGCTCAGCGTGACTACGAGCTCCACTCTCTTGACTTCAGCACAGCTTTCTTGCAGGGCAGCCTGCACGAGGAGATCTGGCTGCGCCGCCCACCTGGCTTCACTGGGTCGTTCCCTCCTGGTACCCAGTGGAGCCTCCGACGGCCAGTCTACGGTCTCCGCCAGGCGCCGCGTGAGTGGCACGACACACTGAGGACTACACTTGCGGCTCTTGGGTTCGCTCCTTCTACTGCTGACCCGTCGCTGTTTCTACGCACCGACACTTCACTGCCGCCGTTCTACATCCTCGTGTACGTCGACGACTTGGTCTTTGCCACTGCTGACACTACGACACTCGCCCACGTGAAGTCGGAGCTGCAGAAGAGACACACGTGCACAGACCTGGGTGAACTGACAAGCTATCTTGGCTTGCGGATCACCCGGGACAGAGCACGGCGCACCATCACCTTGACTCAGTCACACATGGTGCAGCAGGTCCTTCAGCGCTTCCGCTTCACGTACTCCTCGCCTCAGCCCACTCCTCTGCCTACCGGTCACTCGCTCTCAGCTCTGCCTTCGGATGAGTCCGTAGAGCCGAGTGGCCCGTATCCAGAGCTTGTGGGCTGCCTCATGTACCTGATGACCTGCACTCGACCTGACCTTGCATACCCTCTTAGCATCCTTGCACGCTATGTCGCTCCTGGTCGTCACCGGAAGGAGCACATGGATGCCGCTAAGAGGGTGTTGCGTTACTTGTGCAGTACGTCGGGCATGGGGCTAGTGCTTGGAGGACGAGACCGAGTTGTACTCACTTGGCACTCAGACGCTTCTTGGGCTGACGACCAGGCTACTCAGCGGTCGTCTCAGGGTTACACCTTCAGCCTTGGCTCTGGTTCTGTTTCTTGGCGTTCTACAAGCTCGTTTTCCGTTCTCAGCTCCAGTTGTGAGGCTGAGATCTACGCCACAGCCATGGCTGCACAAGAGTTACGCTGGCTCACCTACCTGCTGACTGACTTGGGAGAGCGGCCTCGTTCTCCTCCAGTGCTGTACGTCGACAACAAGGCTACCATTGCCTTGTGTGAGGAGCACAGACTGGAGCACAGAACGAAGCATATCGCTCTACGGTACTTCCTTGCTCGAGAGCTGCAGCAGCGTGGTCAGCTTCGTCTGCGTTACGTGGCCACTCGGGCCAACACTGCTGATGTGTTCACCAAGGCGCTTCAGCCTTGTGACCATCAGCGCTTCTGTACTGTTCTAGGCCTTGTGCCTACTGTGCCTCACTTGCTTACTTCTTGACTCTGTTTGTACTGTGATCTCTATATATATACCTGCATACTTACACTTGCTAGGTTGTGCTCACTGTACCCCTTGCTGTATTATTAAACTGCATGTGAACTGGTCTTGTGACCACTTGCTTGTGCTCGGAATTTGTGTGGTTTCCTCGAGATCCACCCTGAGCTTGCTTTGCCCTTCCTGACTGGTCTTGTGACCACTGCTTGCTCTGGCTATCCCCCATTTCACCTATGGGGGTGTGTCAAAACATATGCATAATTGTATCTAGGCTATACTGGGGCTAGCCTTAGGGGGTACACAAATAGTCTCGACACTCTAGTCTTGTACCCCAATCTTCACCTAATCATCAACTTTCTCGTTCCCTAGCTAGTGATTCTAACTCGCCTTATGTATGGGCGTTTACTGTCTCGGCTCCGGTGCCATTCACGGCCATAAAACGCCTATTGGCGGACATTAACGGGCCGGCTGTTTTCGACCCCAAAACGCCTAAAGTCTGCCTTATTAACAGCCGGGCAATTTATGAACTGAAAAGCAGCGTTTACAACCGAAATATGGGATGTTAATGCCCGGATATAGACCCGACATTTTTGAGATGATCGCAGGCTGTCATATTGGACGGATCAGAACGCACAATGGTGGACACGCTCGGGCATGTCTAGATATTCATGGCCAGAGATAGCAAGGTCTACTGCTGCCGCGCTAAAGTCACGGCGCAAAAATTTCGGTAAGCACATACACCGTGCTTACCTTCCGCGTCATCGAGCTCGGCGCACTACTGTGGCTGCGTAGGTGGCGCACGCGTGGTGACATCCGGCTGGTCTGGTGCGGTGAATAGAGAGCGCGCCGTGCCTCTCGCTTCGCCTCGCGCTTCATTCTCAGCCGGCTGCGGATTTGCGGGTTCAGTTCCAGGACGGGTAGCAGTCGAGGGCGGAGGCACCACGTGTGCAGCCAACGTCATTGCAGCGACTACATATTGGGCCATCTGGTTCAATTGTAGCAGGCCTTCTTTCGTGCATGCGACGAGCGAATCAGAGATTAGCCGCGCACCACCCATGGTTGCGGTTTCATCTACTCGACGCCGCGGAGTCCTTCCTGGGGAAAATGCATCTGCGAGGGGTGCACATCGTGTGTTGGATAGTAGGGTCAGTTCATGGCTAGAGTGTGTATGGCCTAGCATTCATGTTGCCATCATGTACCAAGTATCAAGTGTGTATGGCCAAGCATCTCTGTTGCAATCACGATCATGTATCATTCTGTAATGATTCAATTTCACAGACGTGATGTCAAGCATGTAGAGCACTACTTACCGGATCCGTCGGCGAGAGAAACAGGTGTGCCTCCGCCTGTGGTGCCTGGACCAGCAGCAGACGGACCGGCGCCGTCGGCGTTTGGGCCGGGAATGTGGGCGTTCGGGTCCACGTTAGTCTCTCGCGCGCCACCGCCGTCCACCACATGCGGACGCACGGAAGCAGTTCCATGCTTCATGTTTTGGACGTAACCCCACCACTTCGGTTTCTTGGTGGCTTTGTTGCCAGATACCATGTCGGCGCGCGCATACTTACGGTAATCCACCATGATACGCTTCCAAGCCTGCTTCATGGGCTCGCTCTCACGGTCCCAGGCAGGGTTCGTCTTCTTCATGTGCACCCGCAGTTTTTTCCAGTACTGTGAGCCCTGCTTTCCTTGAGTGGCTTTGATATCGTCACGGGTATTCCAGCGAGCCGCGGCCAATTCAACCAGCTCTGCCTCTGACCACTCTGTGTTGTAGGCTTTGTCCTTCTTAGCATGTGATTTGCGTCTACGGCGCTTTCGCCCTCCCTTTCCGCGATCACCAGTTTCGGTTCCGTCGTCATCCTCGTCCTCGCTTCCATCATCGTCGGAGTTGTCCGAATCGGCCTCACTTTCGCTAGAGAAGAGTATGTCGTCCAGCTCGTCGGAGTCCACATCAGTATCCGCGTCAATATTTTCTGCTTGGCCGCTTTCGTCGTGCGCGATGTATTGGGATGTAGATCCAGGGCCGTCAGCTGCCTCGTCCCTAATGCGTGGACGGGAAGCTCCTTGAGCTTGCTGTGATTTCATCCAGGCTACGTAAGGAGGATCCACCCAGGGCTTCTCCTCATCTACTCTCTGCTTGCCTTTCTGGCTGCGACTTTTACGAGGCGGCATGCTGGATCGCTTGTTGGATGGAGAGGAGATGTTTTGTGATGCTGTGGAATGCATGACGTTTATGAAGTTGGCCTGTTGGATCTGGTGCTCACGGCAGTTGGGACCGCGGTGGTGTTGACAATTCCCGACGGGAATTTAGACGGTTTCGATCTGCTACGTGGCAGGCGGGCGCGGCAGAAATTTGTGTGTGCGATCCGCAAATTGGCTGGTGTTTGGGTGACAGGCGATGTGTCAGTTGTCGCAATGAGAGTGGTGCGACGTGACCGTTCAACTTCCCGAGCCATCCCCAGCTAACACCAGGAGGTTTAGTCCTCCAGCGTTTTCCGAGACTGTGTCATGACACTATCCACTCTTGACACAAAGCCAGGGATACGACCTGAGCGTAGGAGAGTTTGGATCTAGTTTGTTGGACAGTAAGGACTTCAATATTGCATCTAAGTCGGTCGATTTTATCACAGGAACGTAATAAAGTCAGCGCAGTTGAATGGCGAGCGATCCCGTAAGCTCGGAATATAAAACCAGGCGACCGTCTGTCGATTTTATCACGGACGTCAAGAGTGCAAGAGAGTGAGAGCGAGGAAAGGGAGTGCAGGAGAGTGAGAGCGAGGAGATCGTGACGGGCTTACAGCATAGGAGAAAGAGAATCATGGAAGCCGCCAAGCCGAGAGCCAGAAGCCGCGCCATCGCTAGGGACCGACCTACAGATGGGAATAGTAGCAGTAGAAGGAACCTAACGGGGCTTGTTGCTTTTGAACGGAATAGCTTTTGTAATGGCTGCTGCTACTACGCGCAGTCCCCTCCTTTTATCCGCTTCGGTTGTGATTGGGGGAACACGCCATGCCGCCACGGGGTGGCACTCACGGGCCACCGAGGAATCACCCAGCGCGGTGTGGTGGTTTCCGCTTGTGCCTCAGAGCGTTGACCTTTTGACAGACATGGTTCAACAACTGATCCAGTTGCAGATTCCTATTCTGCTTTTGTCAACGATAAACCCTCGTGTGCACATCAGGCCTGTCGAAGTTCCTGGGGCCCATACTTGCGCTCCCCAGCTCCTCCCCATCTGACCCTGTTTTGGGTGTAGCTGAGCATTTTGGCGCCCTTACGGTCACGGGCGCACCCCAAAGTGAAAACTTGAAATCCGGGCTTGTGAAGAGTTTGCACTTACACTTAACTCTGATAAATCGAAACCTGCGGCTGTTAGAATCTAGAGACAGGAATGAATGAACTATGAAAGAGTTGGGTACAAGTATGAAACCCTAAAAGGGGTTGTACCCCATATTGGCTACCCCACTACAGCCTACACATATATAACATGCATATACTTTGACACACCCCCATAGGCAAAGTGGGAGAGAGCAAGGGGTCACAAGACCAGTCAAGAGAAGCAAAGCAAGCTCAGGGTGGATCACAACGTCACCACACACACTGAGCACAAGCAAAGGGCCACAAGGCCAGTTCACATGCAGAGGTATATATGCAACAACAGCACACTGATCTCTACCTAGCAGAGCAAGCATGCAGGTACATATATCGATCACATTACAAGCAAAGTCTACAGTAAGTGAGGAAACGTGGGCACAAGGCCTAACAGAGTGCAGAAACGCTGATGATCACCAGACAGAAGCGCCTTGGTGAATATATCAGCAGTGTTGGCCCGAGTGGCCACGTGAGCAAGACGAAGCTGACCACGCTGCTGCAACTCTCGAGCAAGGAAGTAGCGCAGAGCAATGTGCTTCGTTCTGTGCTCCAGTCTGTGCTCCTCACACAAGGCAATTGCGGCCTTGTTGTCGACGTACAGCACTGGAGGAGAACGAGGCCGCTCTCCCAGGTCGGTCAGCAGGTAGGTGAGCCAGCGTAACTCCTGTGCAGCCATGGCTGTGGCGTAGATCTCAGCCTCACAACTGGAGCCGAGAACAGAGGACGAGCGTGTAGACCGCCAAGAAACAGAGCCAGAGCCAAGGCTGAAGGTGTAACCCTGTGACGACCGCTGCGTAGCCTGGTCGTCAACCCAAGAAGCGTCCGAGTGACCAGTGAGGACAACGTCGCCCCGTCCTCCAAGCACGAGCCCCATGCCCGATGTACTGCACAAGTAGCGCAGTACCCTCTTAGCAGCATCCATGTGCACCTTTCGGTGCCGACCAGGAGCCACGTAGCGAGCCAGAAGGCCAAGAGGGTACGCAAGGTCAGGACGAGTGCAAGTCATCACGTACATGAGGCAGCCCACTAGCTCTGGGTAAGGACCACTCGGCTCTACGGACTCGTTCGAAGGTGGAGCTGAGAGCGAGTGACCTGTAGCCAGAGGAGTGGCCTGTGCCGAGGACCAGGTGAAGCCGAAGCGCTGAAGGACCTGCTGCACCATGTGTGACTGAGTCAGTGTCATGGTGCGGCGTGCTCTGTCCCGGGTGATCTGCAAGCCAAGGTAACTGCGCAGCTCACCCAGGTCTGTGCACGTGTGTCTCTTCTGCAGCTCCGACTTCACCAGGGCGAGAGCCTCAGTGTCAGCACTGGCAAAGACCAAGTCGTCGACGTACACGAGGATGTAGAACGGCGGCAGCGAAGTGTCGGTGCGCAGAAAAAGCGACGGGTCAGCAGTCGACGGAGTAAACCCAAGAGCCGCAAGTGTCGTCCTCAGTATGTCGTGCCACTCACGTGGCGCCTGGCGGAGACCGTAGACCGGCCGCCGGAGGCTCCACTGGGTACCAGGAGGGAACGACCCAGTGAAGCCAGGTGGGCGGCGCAGCCAGATCTCCTCGTGCAGGCTACCCTGTAAGAAGGCTGTGCTGAAGTCAAGAGAATGAAGCTCGTAGTCACGCTGAGCAGCAACGTGCAGCAGCACCCGAAGAGTGGTCATCTTCGGGGTGGGGGAGAAGGTCTGGAAGAAGTCGACTCCCTCCCTCTGACTGAAGCCTCGAGCAACGTAACGAGCCTTGAAGACAGGCGGAGAACCTGGCGGCCGCTTCACCCTGAAAATCCACATGCCACTGACGATGTTCGCCCCAGGTGGGGGAACCTCGTCGACGTAAGTGCCTGTGGACTTCCAGGATGCCATCTCTGCGTCCATGGCTGTCTGCCACTGAGAGGAGGACTCACCCGCTATCGCCTCAGCGTTACAGGCGCGGGGTCGGGATGTCTGGAGCATCCGGGTCTCCCTCAGGGGCAAGCAGCATGGACACGAGATGAGGCGCAGCGGCTGCAAGACACTCAAGGTCCTCGTGCCTGTCCTCAAGGACGTTCGTGCCAAGAGCACACTCACCCCCGACGGACGGAGGACAGACAGACTCAGACTAAGCAACAAGACTAGCGGCGTAGTCTAGACGACAGGCAGCAGCAGACCCAAACGACGGGTCAGTGACAATAGTGGCTAGCAGACGCGTGACAGTAGGGTGCTCAGCACGAAACCGGTCAGACTCAGGGTCCGCAACGACAGGCAGAGAAGACGCAGGAGGAGACGGCAGAGGAACACGCTGCAGAGGAGAGGAAGGACGACGGATTACGAGGTCCGGCTGACGCGGACGAGGAACACGACGACCGGACCAACCAGAACGGACAGGCGAGACAGGACGCGACGCAGGCTCACGACGCTCAATAAGACCCCCTGTCTGCTCAGTGTAAGGAGAAGGAGCAGGCAGCGGTGAGCCAGGCTGTAACGGAAGACCAGTAGACGAAGGGAGACTAAGAACCTGGCGAAGCACAGAGTCAGGTGGTGGCTGAGACGACGGAGACGGTGGAGCGAAGAACAGGCGCGGCTGTGCAGTGACACCAGAACCAGCAGCTCCAGTACCCCCAGCAGCTCCAGCACCTCCAGGAGCTCCAGACCCCTCAGCGCCAGCTCCTCCAGGACCACCTCCACCAACAGCAGCACCCCCAGAACCGGCACCTCCAGTCCCAGGGTCTCCAGCCTCAGTGTCTCCAGCAGCAGCACCCCCAGACCCAGGGTCTCCAGCAGTAGCACCCTCAAGCTCAGCACCTCCAGCCCCAGCAGCTCCACTACCTCCAGTACGAGCACCTCCGGGACCAGCACCACTCCCAGCTCCAGTGACGTCAGCAGAAGTACCTCCAGCGGCAGAGCCCCGAGCTCGAGAAGCGCGACCCTGACGGCGACCGTACCAGTCGTGCAGCTGCTGTGAGGTGAGAGGCACACGCGGACGAAGGCGGCTACTCCAAGGAGACCGCGCAACAGCAGCTCCAGAACCTCCAGCGTCAGCACCCGCAGCAGCTCCAGAACCTCCAGCTCCAGCGCCACCAGCACCAGCACCTCCAACAGCTCCAGAACCTCCAGCGCCAGCACCCGCAGCAGTAGTACCCCCAGAGCCGGCACC